TTTTTTTTTTTTTTTTTTTTTTTTTTTTTTTTTTTTTTTTTTTTTTTTTTTTTTTTTTTTTTTTGTTTATGAGATCATTCTCGCTTGCTTGTTGTTTTTTGGTTTTGATGGATCTTGTGGAAGAACCATGAGATGAAGGAAATAACAATGTAGGATGCTTAAGACGGAATGTTCTTGATAATAGTTCCTTTGGCTGAGTTTATTTCATTGCGTTTTCTAATTCTTCATGTAGGATTTCAATGGAGCAAAAAGAAGGATTGAATTCCTGTGTTTCTTTTGTGAAGATTATTGTTATTTCCTGTTTATTCTTTTTAAAGGCATTTTGAAGAGATTGGAAGACGATAGAACATGATTTTGAATATGAAAGTTGTTTGGTGTGTTCTTTCTTACCCGTGGTTGGAGCTTATCGGGATGAATTTGTTCTCGAGATGTGCGCTTTTGGAAATAATGCACCCGTTGAAATCATGCACTAGCAGACAATCTCCATCAATTGGAATTCTCTGACCGTCCTCGAAGATAGCAATTTGTTCTTATCTTCTTTTGACCTTAATTTTGAACTTGATTTTCCCCCTTTCTCTCTTTTAGATGCTAAATCATATGGTATCTGGGGGTTCTGAGTTCTTAATCAATGATTTTATTTACATTTTCGTAGTTTTAAAGTGTATTATATCAAAACATTGATTAAGAACACATCGAGCTTCAGAGTTTTCTTGGTTTTTACTCCATGAATGAAACTCTTGATCTTTTGTAATATCCCATTAGCACTTTCATTTCTAATTTGCAGGACTACGTGCCCACCGTTTTTGACAATTTCAGTGCCAATGTGGTGGTTGATGGAAACACTGTCAACTTAGGATTATGGGATACTGCTGGTAACAACATGATGAGAGTTCTAGTTTCTCCACCCACCCAATAACCAAGTTCATCAAATTTTTAATGCATGAAGGGATTTAAATTTATTGTTTTGAACAGGTCAAGAGGATTACAATAGATTAAGACCACTGAGTTATCGAGGTGCTGATGTTTTTATTCTTGCTTTCTCTCTCATAAGCAAGGCCAGCTATGAAAATGTTGCTAAGAAGGTAGCACGTAATGGATGAAGTCAATTGTTAGCCTAATTAGCTGGATATGCATTGTTTATGCAAAAATTATGCCTTTGCTGATGAGATTTTTTGCATTTTCCCACAGTGGATTCCTGAGTTGAGACATTATGCACCTGGTGTTCCAATAGTTCTTGTTGGAACTAAACTTGGTAAGGATTATTTATTCATTTTGAAGTTCGGTATTCATGTGAGATTCCTCATCTGGGGAGGAGAATGAAACATTTTTTACGAGGGTGTGGAAACCTCTCCCTAGCATACGGGTTTTAAAGAGGACAATATCTGCTAATAGTGGACTTGGATTGTTATTTAATTTAGCGATTGAGTAGAGGGATATATTTGGATACGAAGAACTTGGGCTTTGGCTGTTACACATCCATCATAGATCGCTTTTCTTTGCACCGAGTGGAATGTGTGCATCCATACACAAGTTCTTTGTATCCAAAGAATTTTTTCTCAAGTCGCCGAGATTTTATTTAATGATTGTACATCTGCCCAATGTTTCGATTATTTTTGTGTCTGTCCATAAGTTTTTTTATAGCATAACTTAGTGATTAAGATATTTCTACTTCTCTCAAGAAGTCGTAGGTTTAAATCTCTCGGCTCTACTTCTGATCCAATGTTTTGATAGAAGAAAATGGGAATAACGGTCTATGATTTTATTCTTCTCGCGTGAGGATATTTCTCGCAATTTTGAAAACAAGAACAATTCTCACTGTAGTTTCGTTCTCAGATCTTCGGGATGACAAGCAATTCTTTGTAGACCACCCGGGTGCGGTGCCAATTTCTACTGTTCAGGTAAATAACTTGATATCTACCTTGATTGGTTTGGTTGTGTATGGCTGATTTTTCTGTTATTGAATGTAGGGAGAGGAGTTGACAAAAACAATTGGAGCCCCGGCATACATCGAATGTAGTTCAAAAACTCAGCAGGCATGACATTCAGTCTGTGTTATTCGTCTGTGTGCATATTTTGTGAAGGAGTTGGTTTGACGGTTTATTGGTTTGTTTGTTGCAGAATGTGAAAGCAGTGTTTGATGCAGCCATTAAAGTGGTGCTCCAGCCGCCCAAGTCAAAGAAGAAGAAGAAGAAGTCACAGAGTGTCTGTTCCATCTTATGATCGAAGAAGAAGAAGAACCGAACCGAACCGACGACACCTCATAATGTACTCGCCTTTTTCTCAGCATATCTTTAATCCATGTCATTCCAAGGAAGCGGCGGCGAATGATGTATCGTATCGTATACGGCCCCAGGCTGACATTCCAAGATGCAAACAACATATTTTGCAATCTGTTTGTTAGTAATGACCAACATTGCTAACCCCAATTTGTCTGTTTGAATTGTTCATGTATTCATGAGATACCTAAAAGAACTGCTCCCTGGGCATGAACATGCTTTGGTACTTAGTAACATATATTCTCTAATTCCATTCACATCCTCATATTTATGACTTCACTCTATACTCATTTCTTGAGCTTGCATTTTACTACTGACCTCACATAACGAACACTGAATCAATCAATCATGTGTTATGTGTTAAGTTCGCTCGCGTATCATATGTTCTGGGTCGTGTTCTGTAATTTACTAACATATTCCCTAAATCTCTTATCATTTCAAAGAGATCATAAATCCAAGTGATTATTAATGTTCAGGCAGAAGTGGCAATATTTAGTTACAAGTCTCGTTCATTCACCATTCGGAGACACAATTCACAGACAGAATGCATCAGAGGAGCCCACAGGGGGAACAAAATTGACTGTCAATCATATTGATTCTAAAACAATTATAACGCCCAGGAAAAAGATTGTTCCACCAGGCGTACTGTACATATTTCACACTACTAAAGAATTCAATATCAAAATGGAATCGTATAAGGCAACAGATAAACGTCAGCTTCAGGTACAAACTGTCCTCTCGGCCACAGACTGGACCTTCTACAGATGGGAGCATGACTGAAAGCTTGGTTGGTCTTTGTTCTTTCATCCTGCTTTTTGGTTCCGAAGAGCCATTCTTCATCGACCGTTTGCTGCCCCAACTGAAGCGTTGGCGGTACCCATTTGTCAAACAAGTCCTCATAAGCAGATTCAGAAGGCTTTCTCTTGCGATGAGTACTACCAATGTCAACAGCATGCAAAGGAAGGTCTTTGATATTAGGTTCCGAAATTGGATCCTGGACAGCGACTGCTGTGTCGGCGATTGTGAGGGAAGTTTTTTGCACAATGGGCCTACTGCGGCTGTTCTCATCTCTCTTTTGATCAAGAGAAGTGAGGGAAGTTTTTTGCACAATGGGCACACGGCTGCTGTTCTCAACCCTCTTTTGATCAAGAGAAGTGAAGGAAGTTTTTTGCACAATGGGCACACGGCTGCTGTTCTCATCTCTCGTTTGATGAAGAGAATTACGACGACCAGTTGTAGAACACGTCTGTTCACTGCCAGCTGATGAATCCTCTTGTTGGCTAAGTGAAGAAGCCAGTTTGATTCGGATGACTTTTCCTGTTTGTGATCAATTATTTACATATTAGCGATCACTCAAATGGCCAAGTGAACAAATTTCACAAAAGAGCCAATAAAGAGAACCCACCAGGCTTACAGTCTTCATTAGGCTGTAACGATGCACCCCTTTTTCTTTTGTGATTGGACTGAGTTCCATCAGACAAGTAGCCAGGACTTTGAGGCCATACTGGTTGCCCATGCTCTTCAGTGAGACCACTCTTTTCCAATTGTTCTGCTTCAACTTTTGTTCCCTGCAGAAGGTCCTTGACTTCCTTCTGTTTCTGATCAGTCGAGTCGCGGCGGCTGCGAGAAGATTTATCTCTATGCTCTTTGCTTTTGTGTTTCTTGTCCTTACTCTTCTCTTTCTTGTGCTTACTTTTCTCTTTCTTTCTTTCAGTCCCTTTTTCTCGTCTTTCAGATAGGAGCTATAACGCACCAGAATAACCATTTTAAACAATGCAGACCACGCAAGCACCAAACAAATCAACCATGTCTTAACTAAGTAACGAATGGCAACCCTTCAAAATGGTAGCCATTCCCATTGTAAAGAAGCATGTTCATTTGGACTCGGATAATCATACATTCTACCTAGTAAACTCGAATATTCACATCATGTAACCATACGCCTAAGTTTATGAGGAAAACAAGTCCCGAGTAAAGTTCATACAAAGGCGTTCAAATTAATCAAACTACAGGAAGAAACTCTCTCTCACTAAAAATTGGTTGAAATCATCAACTTCAAAAACCAGATAATGATTTGAAAAAAGATATAAAAAATCATGACGTTCCCATGAATAATAAATTTTCTATTAAAAATTCATTTGCTACAAATGTACACTTGGTGTTCTGATAGTGAAAACGGAACCATACATACAAGATCCAAGAACGCTTTGCAAGACATGCAACTTACAAACTCCCAACTCACTATCCATTCACTTAAACTCTCAAAGATCTCTTGTTCCTTGAAGAGTTATCACTCGTCAATTACTTGAAAAACACAGACGAACAAAACTGAAACTACAATCTACACCTGTACAAAACTTGTAACTCTCTTCACACGAAACAAGAAAACCCATATCGATTCCTCCCCATCGCCGTAAAAACTAGAGAAAAAAAAGTCGTTACTGATTACAAATTACCCCCATCCAAAAAGTTACAATTCCAAGTAGATCTCGCAATCAATTGGAACCAGAACACAATTGAATCCAGCACACATTATTGAAAGCCAACCAAATAGCTCAAACAAACCTTAATCGATTCGATCAAGGCCGCCTCGGTCCTAGCCACCTTCCTCGCGTAACCAGGAGGTGGGTAAGGAAAGCAACGAGACATCTGGGTCTATTATGGGAAGGATTCGGCGAAAACTTGAAAGTAGAAGAGAGAAGCAGTTGGGATTTGAGAAAACACAAGGAAGAAACGATTACGATGGAAAACCCTAGCGGAGATCGAAGAAGACTTCTTTCGATGAGCGGCAAATTGGAAACCCTAAAATGCCGAAACAATTCATCACCGTCTGGCAGGCGCTCTATTTATAAACTCCATCAGCCAACTTTCGACTAAGAAATACCAATTTTGTCCCTTCGTTTTTCTTACGAAAATTTGTAGCCTTTTAATAATTTCTTAATTTTTAAAAATTTGTTTTTTTTTCATAATTTTTTAAATTTTTTTATTTATTATAGATAAATTCAAATTATATCAAATAATTTGAAATTAAATAATAATTAAACGTATAAGAGCCCAAAATATAAGAAAATAATATTTACAACATAATTTTAAAAAATCAAATAGTATTAAACTACCTTTAAAATTAAAAAAAAAAAAGTGAAATATCGAATTTATATATTCAGAAATATATATATACAGAAAGGGCTTTTTGGGAAATACATTACCATGGTAGGGGGTGGTTGACGCGTTACCACACAGGGAAGGGGGGGGGGG